ATAGTAGTAATCATTTTCGAATTAGATGTCATATGATTAGTGGCACCAGAATCAATCACCCGTGTATTATTCAAAACAAAGACAGAATGTAAAGCTTTACCAGGTGTATTTGTGGTGGTGAGTAATCATGAGGCCTGTTTGTTTCCTCCATCTGTGGTTTGATTTATCTAGCGGTTGCGAGTATCCTTCCACCAATCAGGATAACTGATGATTCATAGCATCCCTTTTTCGAGTGTCCTGTCCTCCCACAGATAGAACATGGAGGATATTTGGAAGATGAACCCCGAGGATTTGATTGAGATGCATTTGTCTGGTTCCCAGATCCGGTTGTTCTCTCAGAGTTTCGTCAATTGGGAGTACGGGCTATCATAGCTGTAGTATCTTTCTCAGTTGTCATTGCCTATCGTCGGAGAGCTTCTTGTCGAACCAGGGCATAAACCTCTTCTAATTCAGGAACGAGATATTTTTGCAGAATCTCACCCCGGATTTGTTCAAGATCATTATCCAACCCGGCAAGAAAAATGTGTACCCTCAAGCATTGAATCTCACCCCGGATTTGTTCAAGATCATTATCCAACCCGGCAAGAAAAATGTGTACCCTCAAGCATTGAATAGATTTCCTATAAGATTCAACATCATTAGGGCTCTCCATAATTACCTTATCACGGTGATCTAACTCGCTGAATATCTCTGTCAGCTCCCCATAAAATTCAGATAGTGGTCGCCCACCCTGTTTGGCAGTGAAGGCTCGTTGGTTCAAAGATAAAACCTGTAATTCATTAGCGCCATCATAAAACACAGTAGCCAAGAATTTCCAGATTTCTCTCGCTGTAGGAATACGAATGTAGCATTTCATGATTTCTGGTTTCATAGACATCAAGAGCCAGCGTTTCACTCGCTGGTTATCAGAGGACCACTTATCAAATTCCGGTGTTCCTTCTTTCGGTATGGGAGTAGAGCCCTTAATAAAGGAGAATTTTTGTTTCTCGGCGATGTGTATCTCCATAAGTTGAGACCATATATCATAATTGGTTTCATCTAGGAGAAGGCCAATGTTGAATGAGGAGCCTTCAGTCTGAATAATAAGACCACAAGAGGATCTACACCAAATGAATTTGTCAGTATTGACTGCTTTTGTTAAAAAATCTGCTAGGTTGTCCTTGGTGTGTGTTTGTTGGAAATTTGCAGTAAAAAGACAATGAAAGAAAAATTGACTTGTATTCCTCTCAAAATCAATTACAATTTGGATTCCGATTACAAAAGAGAGGAGAACGAATTTGATTCTCCCCTTTGTTTAATTCTGGGTTCTTCACGGTGGCGATGAGATGCCTCCCTCGAATGCTCGCGTCGAGTTTGCTTCTCGTTGACGATCCGAATGTCTTGATTCACTGGAACGTGGTCTTCTCCTCACGATTTGACGCTGTGGAGAACTTGCAAAGCAAGTTTGAAAATAACTCTTAACGAGTTGATAACTCTGAACGAGTTTTAGAAGAACTTGCAGAGCAAGTTTTGAACTCTGATCGAGTTGATAACTCTGAACGAGTTTGAACTCTTGAAAAAGAGTTGATTTGAACCACAATCGGTTAATCAGCCAAGGGAATGCTCCTGTTGTCGATCTCCAAAATCCCAGCCGAAGGATGAAGGCTCTTCTTCTTTGCTACCAAGCTTGTTCTTGACCGAATCTCTCTCTGTTGATGAGAAAAAATTCGATCTGAAGCTAACCGAAGATCTCTTCTTTTCTGCCCAAAAAAAAGAAGGATCCCAGAGCCCGAACTCAGTTGAGTTTCTGGTATTTATAGGGGGTTACGGGTGGTAACTACAGCTTGTTCTTGACCGAATCTCTCTCTGTTGATGAGAAAAAATTCGATCTGAAGCTAACCGAAGATCTCTTCTTTTCTGCCCAAAAAAAAGAAGGATCCCAGAGCCCGAACTCAGTTGAGTTTCTGGTATTTATAGGGGGTTACGGGTGGTAACTGCCCCCTTAATTTGCTCCTCAATGGGCTGAGTGGGGTGTAACCGCCCCCCTCTTAAACAGCTCCCCAAATAGTGGGGAAAACGGTTTTGAAACCGTTGTGCTGTTTCGGAGATGAACTCTGCGTTTTAGGCTGAAAACGCACAGTTGGGCCTGTTTAAAGGCTGAAAACGCACAGTTCGTGCTGTTTCGGAGATGAACTCTGCGTTTTAGGCTGAAAACGCAGAGTTGGGCCTGTTTAAAGGCTGAAAACGCACAGTTCGTGCTGTTTTGGAGATTAACTCTGCGTTTTAGGCTGAAAACGCAGAGTTTGGCCTGTTTAAAGGCTGAAAACGCACAGTTCGTGCTGTTTTTTGGATTAACTCTGCGTTTTAGGCTGAAAACGCAGAGTTTGGCCTGTTTAAAGGCTGAAAACGCACAGTTCGTGCTGTTTTGGAGATTAACTCTGCGTTTTAGGCTGAAAACGTAGAGTTTGGCCTGTTTAAAGGCTGAAAACGCACAGTTCGTGCTGTTTCGGAGATGAACTCTGCGTTTTAGGCTGAAAACGCAGAGTTGGGCCTGTTTAAAGGCTGAAAACGCACAGTTCGTGCTGTTTCGGAGATGAACTCTGCGTTTTAGGCTGAAAACGCAGAGTTTGGCCTGTTTAAAGGCTGAAAACGCACAGTTCGTGCTGTTTCGGAGATGAACTCTGCGTTTTAGGCTGAAAACGCAGAGTTTGGCCTGTTTAAAGGCTGAAAACGCACAGTTCGTGCTGTTTCGGAGATGAACTCTGCGTTTTAGGCTGAAAACGCAGAGTTGGGCCTGTTTAAAGGCTGAAAACGCACAGTTCGTGCTGTTTCGGAGATGAACTCTGCGTTTTAGGCTGAAAACGCAGAGTGGGGCCTGTTTAAAGGCTGAAAACGCACAGTTGGTGCTGTTTTAGAGATGAACTCTGCGTTTTAGGCTCTATTTTTCCACCTTCGGTTAAAGGGGACCGTTTCATTCTGGCAATCACCGATTATTTCTCGAAATGGGCAGAAGCAGTTCCACTTAGAGAAGTAAAGACGACCAATGTCATCAAATTTATCAAACACCATATCATATATCGGTACGGTGTGCCAAGGCGAATAGTGCACGACAACGGTCCTCAGTTCGTGAGCAACGCATTCATCAAGTTCTGCGGTAAATTCGGGATTAAAGACGTTTCGTCGACTGCTTATAATCCTACAGCTAACGGATTGGCCGAAGCTTTTAACAAGACTATCATCAAAATCCTGGCAAAATTGGTGAAAACCAATAAGCGAGATTGGGATGACAAACTCGGCGAAGCTCTCTGGGCTTATCGTACGACCGTCCGCACGCCTACCGGAGCCACCCCGTATGCTTTAACGTATGGGTGTGAAGCCGTTCTTCCATTGGAAGTGCAGATTCCTTCTCTCCGTATCGCTCTCGTAACGGGAATGACGACGGAAGAACATCATCAGAAACGTCTCGAGGAATTAGAGATGTTAGATGAGAAACGCTTGGAAGCTCAACAACAAATCGAGTTTTATCAAGCTAGAATTTCTCGGGCTTTCGATAAAAAGGTCCGACGACGAAGCTTTAAAGAAGGAGATCTAGTTCTCGCCGTTCGAAGACCTATGATTCTCACTTCTAAGAAGAAAGGCAAATTTGAACCTAAATGGGAAGGACCGTTTGTGATAGAAACAGTCTATTCGAACGGTGCATATCGCCTGGTTACCCAAGATGGCAACAAATTGATGATGCCAATAAATGGGAAGTTCCTGAAAAAATATTATCCGTAATATATTCAGGATAACCTGTGTAAAGCGGGAAGTTCCTAGAGAATCCTATATAGGATATTTCAGGATAACCCGAGATCAGTTCACTATTTTAAATGAGAAGCTGGTCATTTGAATAATTCACTGTTCTTTTACAACTTTTGTTGAGATGAGATTTAATGATAGTTAATCTTTCCTCAGCAAAACCTTGTAATATAATCATGGAAGATGAGATTTGATGATTTGTAATCTCACGCTATGAAACCCCCATCGGTCGGATTGATCAACGATCATCAGTATGTATCAGTCGACAGATTATTTCGTGTCAAATTCTTATGTTTAAAATCAAAATTTCCCACCGATTAGTTTGTGCAAATCAACAAACTCATTGTTATTTGCACCCTACTCCTATTCCTCACTTGGTCAAACCTTTAAACAGTTAGGACCAAAGCCAAAATCCCCTCTCGATTCGTTCCATGAACGAGAGGTCCACAAATTGAGCGATCAAACCTTCCTACAGTTAGGATCGTCTCAAAATTCCCACTTGGTCAAACCTTACTACAGTTAGGACCACAACCAAAATCTCCTTTCGATTCATTTTTGCGAACGAAAGGTTTACTTTTGAATTGAGTAATCAAACCTTATGACAGTTAGGGTTATTCAAACCAACCTATTTTCTCTAAGTGGAGATTCCACTGTGAGTTTCCTTTTCATCAGGAGATAGAATATAAAATTCTCCCTCTCCGATTCTGGGTTTATCTCTACCAACAAACAAGAGACCAGGAGATAGAATATAAAATTCTTCCTCTCCGATTCTGGGTTCATCTCTACCAACAAACAAGAGACCAGGAGATAGAATATAAAATTCTTCCTCTCCGAGTATGGGTTTATCTCTACCAACAAACAAGAGATTGAGAAATGGAATATACAATTCTTTTTCTCTCCGATTTTGGGTTCGTTGTCCTATATAGGAAATGCAACCTATTCACACTTTGAAATCCATGTTGTTCACACATGGGGGATGTTATCTCTATCCCTTATTAGAGATAAGCCTACATCTAACACATGTAGCCTACATATTCAACAGTGTAGTTCAAAGTCTAAAAGAGTTTAATTCTTTTAGCGCAACGTTATATGTGAAACGGACTTAGATAATTCACATACTAGCCCGATTCAAACGGTAATCGGTAAAGGTATATCAAATCCGTTGATGGCTGAGGATTTGCCAAAAATCCTATAAGTATTATGGTTATTTATTCTAAATAAGAATGAGTAATCATAATAAAAAACCTCAATGAGCAAAAAGATTCAATATAATGAGCAAAAAGGTTCACTATATTGACCAAGAATTTTCAAACAAAGCTACAAACAAAAATATAATGTTCTCCGATTACAAGAGTTTATATTGACTAATTTGATTTTCAAGTTTTGACAGCTCTAACGCATAAGTCTGTTCAAGCTCAGCCGTCAATTTAATTTTGAAAGCTTCTTCATCAACACTTTGAAGCGCGGCGACCTCTTGTTCCTTCTCAGCAATTATTTTATCTTGAAAGTTCAGTTGCTGTAACAGGTCTTCCTCAACATGAATTTCCTGCGTCAACTCAGACTCCAAGACATCAAGAGCATCCTTGGCCATTGCAAGTTCCTCCTCTAAGCGAGCTATTTCCGCTCGACTCGATTTTATATCTCGGCGTAGGTTGACCTTGGCTTGTGTCCTTTTGCCAATATTCACCCTAAGCTGGTGACTATGGGCTCTTAATTGTTGGAGTTCAGAGTTGGCAGATTCTTGAGAATTACGCCACGCTTGCAGCCTGGATTCCATATGAGAAGCGATGTAAAAAGGTACGCCTTTGGTGCGAAGAGTTTGCAGAAGTTCAATATGTTGCCTCAAATCAACCAAATAAGCGGTGACTGAATCGGCTAAGTCGTTATACCCTTCCTCTCTGAACCCTGATATAAAACGCTCAAAAGATTTTTTATAATTCTCAAAATACGATCTTTTGAAGAGAATGCGATCGACCATAGAGTTCAAAAAGGAGATGAAGCCTTGGAGATTAGAGCAGATAACAGACTTGTCCGGATCGTCATCAACCAATAACGCTTGGATTTGAGTTGATAATGATGAAGGAACTGCGAGAAAGTCAAATAAGTCAGTACAGTATATATATATGCATACAAGACAACAAACTAAAGCATACCAAATTCGACGGAAGAACCTTCAGCATGACTTGGTTCGCTCAAGGATGATAATCTGGATTCCTGAACAGTCAAGATTGGTTCAGGAATGGTAGCTGTTGATGCACCCGCTACATCAGGGACTTTTTCAACTAAAGTCTCAGAGGACGGCGGGTCCAAACTAAGAGACTCTTTAAGAGGAGATTCTACAAACAGGAGGATTACAATGAGCATAATGATAATCCGAGCTTGAAACAAACGATAAATGAAACTCACCAATTCTAGTCACAACATCGGCCGATGTACCAACTTCTTCAGTTGGTCTCGCTTTTGTTGCAACTGGACTAATCTGGGGAGTGACAGTGACTTCTATCATCATGGGGTCCATAGGAGTAGAAGGTTGAGGTTCAAGAACTGATGATTGCAAATCAACTTCGGTTCTTGTCCACGGCACAAGTTCACTACTCTCCAGTCGATCAGACGTACCAATGATTATAGTAGTATCAGTTCCAGCAACTGGTCCTATAATTCAAATACTTATATGGTTAATCAAGTTAAAATATATATGTATGCATATATGGAGTTTACAGAATAAAGGTCTTACTTTCAGAAGGACCTGCTTCTGTTGGACCGACTCCAACGTTGGATTCCGTGGCTGCACCAGGAGTTTTCCCCGATAGTAAGTCGGAGATATACTCATGGTCGCCTTCAGAGAGATTGAAATCGAGGTGATGTTCATTGAATTCCTCGACCTCTGTTGTATGCGTGGTCTCTCCTCCAACAGATTCGTGCATTGTGACATCTACAAAATGTGTTGAGTCGTAAATGACACATAAATTTAGACGAATTTGCTCAAAAAGACAATTAATTTTACCTTCGTTGGTCGGGGCTGATTCGAGAGCTCCACTACTGGTACCTGCTTCTTTTAATTTGACTAAAAGGAGAGAAAGCGCACAGGTCATTAGAGGAGGCACACGGTCCGACTCATTCATTTCTCGGATTTCTCTTCCGAGAGGAGAAAGATCAGTACCTGTGTCCGCAGCTGATGGATCAACGTCAGGAGTGGGTGGAACGTCAGCTGGTCCTTCTTTCAGAACATCTTGCATTTGCTGGACGAAGCTGGTCTCCTCAGTCTCCATACCTCCAGGAGAAGCAGCTCCAACTCGATATTCTCCCTCTTCTTGACTCTCTACAGAAATTGGAAATGAAATGAGTTCGAGCATTAAAAAAAAATGTAAGAGAGATAAAAATAAATAATTACCTAGTTCATCAGAAGAAACATTACGACCAGAGATATCTTCTACGGCAGAAAGATGAACGCGCGGTTTAGAAGCAGCTTTCTTTTGTTTCTTCGGTGGATGTGCTTCAGGACCTTCGTGACGACGTTTGGTGCGTAATTCAGTTCGAGGAGGAATTTGGGTTTGAGCTTGAGTGGAAGGTCGTGATCTTTGTCGACGAGCAAGAGGCACTTCATCCTCTTCATCCTCTTCGTCCCCACTGAGAATGTCTACCGTCATCCGATTAGGATAGGTCATGACGACCCTCTCTCCCCGTTTTCTCGAAGTAGCTTGTGATTGAGTAGGAGCAACAGATGGGCACACAAGTCCTCTTTCAAAGAAAGAATCAGAAAGACCCGCTCTTTCATCAGAACTTGAGCTAGTCTCACCCGCCTCCTCGGAAGTCTCCGTCTCCTCAGAGTCAAATTCTTCTTCACTACCGACTGAGCGAGCCGGTTCCTTTCCTTTCCTTGATGATTCAGCAGCCTCTTTTCCTCGAGGCGACATCACAGCTTCGCGAGGCAGTTCTGCTGCTTGCCGTGGAGCTATTTCTTCCTCTGAGTCTGATATCCTCCTACGTCGAGTGACAATATTGGTGGCTATCAGCCATTTACAAAAGAGGAAAGTCATCCGTAGAGGCGGCGTCTCTAAGGGGAGATCAAATTCAACATTGGTGCAGCCGGCAATGCTCCAAAACCAAGCTCTCGCCCCGTCGATAAGTCCACCTCGAAAGCTGAGGTGACGATTCGGGTTGCCGATGTATATCTGATCATACCCGAACTGACGGGCGAATCGACATGGAAGATAGGGTTCGATGTGGCAAACATCCCTTATCCTGAACAACAGATATCCAGGTCGAATATTCATCAACCATCTGAAGCACCCGACATCCAAGATGGTACGATTCTGCCTTGGGTCTTCAGCATCCACTAAGGTAGTGTTGTAAGTACCGGAGAACTGAGGGAAGCAAGGAAAAAATTCCCAACATTTGTGAATTTTAAACTGCCTCGTTATGTCCGGCTCTCGATGTTTGCTCCATTTGCAATTCTCGAGATTTTGCAACAGAGGGACACTGAGATCTACCGTATCAGGAGCCTCCATTAAATCTGGTCGATGAAGTACCAACCAGGCCATTAAGTAAGTATAGGGCAGCTCCAGCTTCGGAACGGACAGGCTGGCGGAAGGTTTCTTTTTCTCCTGGGTAAATGCGGAGATTAGTTGCCGCAATCCACTATGAATATCGGCCACCATAGCGGGAAGCAAAGATAATTTGCGACCTGTAGCCAGCTGGACGGCCGGATACAACACTTCCATTGGCATCGCATCTGCGGATTGATGGGGAACTACACATCTCTTTAACCATAAGGCTAGAAAACCTGCCAGCAGAGCAGTAGGGCTAATCGGAACACCAGCTTGCCACAGATAAGAGCGGAACTTAGTGCCGTGCAAAAATCCATCTTCTGAGCGCGAAGTATAAGAATGCGCGTTGGTTTTCTCTAACAAACGGTTAATTTCATCCGTACTCAAGGGAGACAATCCGCACACATCTGCCGAACGGACATCCAGGTTCTTGAAGAGATAATCAGCGAATTGTTTTAAACTGACTTGAGGAGACTTCTTTCTGGCTTTGGGCTCCATCTCGGCCATGGCTATATGATAATGACAGGTCAATTCCCATAGAGTGTCATAGGTCGCAGTCGAGCTATCTTTCATCTTAATCAGCTGATTGGTGGTCGGAAAGAACTCTTGATATGGGACATCGCCCATAGGCAAAGCAGACACTTGCATCATTTCATGCAGTGGTAGTCCAAGTTCCCCGTTCTTGGTAAAGAATGTATTGGTGTCCGGGTTGTAGATCTCGAACAAACAAAGGAAATGACTTACACTGCTCTGCAAGCCATGCATGGTGGCACGAATCGGGACATCCAACCCTAATCCTGCTAATTCTCGCCCAAAACGTTTCAACACATATTGGGTCATCCTGGTCCACCACCACTTGTTCCCAGAATAATGGACCCATCCATAACACCTGAAAGTCTCTCTGGGCAATCTTTTTCCTGCTGCCGCTAACCGGTTCTTCACAGTGTTGGCTTGCACTATCTTTTCGTTCTGAGGAATATTGTCTTGTCCTAAGACACCCGGATGAAGTCCTCTCACATGAGCTCTTTCACTGGAACCTGGAGTTGCTTCCTTTCCAATGAAACCACAATGAATGTGCTCGTGGTTTTCGGTTAATTTCCAGAACATCTCTCGTCCAACTGATAGGTTCCTGAACATTAACAGTGAATGATCCCGAGGGATAAAAGGCAGATATAAGAATGATGATCCACTCTGGTGCAACCATTGCGCAGGCTGGCAGAAAGCAATCTTCGGATCTTTTACCGAGTCACCAAATAAGAAATCTGGCTTCCTTATGCATTGATTCGAGTCTTGCTCCGAGATCAAGGGCGCATCTGTGATTAATCGTCGTAGAACACGACAACTACCTCGCTGGATTAATTCACTATCACTTCCGTTATAATCAGATTTAAACTGGGGAGAGAATTCAATTAACGGGATCCCCTCGTAATAAGAGTGGGTCACGCTACTCCGGCCAGTAATCACATCAGCAGTAAATATGGTGGAAGGAAATCGGACTGATAAAAGAGGCATACACATAAATTGTGTAAGTGTCATCCTAAAATTTAGAGAAAAAACGGTATATCTCATTCTATAAGATATAGTCGTTATCTCATAACAGGTGTGACGATTTTCTATCCACCATATGTATAAAGGAGGTATGCGGGCATTATAACGGCATACCAAAACCTTTCAATACATATGGGATGATGTAAAATCGCCCCTGTGTATTATGAAGTGTGTTTTGTCAAAGCAAAACAAACACTTTTAAGCGTCGATCCCCTCAAAGGAGGATACCGGCTCTTCTCGAAGGTACCTCAAAGGATACAAACGAGGATCTGCAAGCAAATACAGGTACATGTATATGGAATTGGTGAAATACAATATTTAAATTCGTGAAAAGGCGAAAGAGATATACCTCCACGGGAGATCGCAGCAGGGGCAGCCTCCTCAGGGCTCTGAACAGGTGGATGGCTTCGGGTTCCTCGAGCTCTACGTGGCGACATGATGAGGATGTGATCTACATTGAAATCCAAGAGGAAGGTTAAGATTTTGAACATGAAATCGACAAAAAAATAGGACAAATACAACTGAAATGCTGCATGCACAGTCACAAGCAAAAGTCAAGATTTTGAAGAAAAGAGGGGAAACAGACCTTTCAAATCCAAATGAAATCTCTTCAAATCGAAGCACCACCCAAGTCGGCAACAAAGAGGAGAAGAAATAGAAGAAAACTGGTCAAAAAATCGCTGAAGAAATCGCCTGAAAATCGCCAAAATCCGACGTAAAAAAAAACCCTAAAAAACCCTAAGTTCGAGTTTTATACTCGCTGGCTCGCTCAGCGAGACAGAAAACTCTGTCTCGCTCAGCGAGACAGAAAACACTGTCTCGCTCAGCGAGACAGAAAACACTGTCTCGCTCAGCGAGACAGCAAACACTGTCTCGCCGAGCGAGACAGAAAACACTGTCTCGCCGAGCGAGACAGAAAACACTGTCTCGCCGAGCGAGACAGAAAACACTGTCTCGCCGAGCGAGACAGAAAACACTGTCTCGCCGAGCGAGACAGAAAACACTGTCTCGCCGAGCGAGACAGAAAACACTGTCTCGCCGAGCGAGACAGAAAACACTGTCTCGCCGAGCGAGACAGAAAACACTGTCTCGCCCAGCGAGACAGAAAACTCTGTCTCGCCGAGCGAGACAGTAAACTTTTCTGTTTTGCACTATGGAACAGTGGAATACTCCAATGGGTACACGAGTCTAAACTGTATTCCCACCCTCAACAGGAAGTTTCTGGAGAATATTAATCTGAATATTCTTAAGGATAACCTGAGGAATTCTCAATGGATATACCAATTCAATGGTAAACGCTGAATTCACAAGAGCAAGTATCAACTTCAATTCAAGATCTCGACAACGGTCAAGCGATAAACGCGACGCCGGGAGAACGTTAGCTATTCTACGAAGAACTGGATAGACTAACAGCAGAAGAGGTTAAACATTGAAGCCATTTACAAGTCCTTTCATACGATCTATTCAGCCAAGCATTGAAGGGATCGTAAGTAAAATCTATCTTATCCAAAGTATCCCATGCTCCTCTATAAAAGAATGAGTCTGGAATACTTTGGAGGGGGTATCTGTAGGCGTCAAAAAATGCTAATAGATATCCCAAGCATAGAGAAGATCACTCAAAAATTCACAAGAAAGGATTTCATACTGTTTTGGAAAAATCAAAACAAGTATGAACTGTCTCGCCAGCGAGACAGTCTTTGCTGTCTCGCCAGCGAGACAGTGTTGAAATAGTCAAAACTACATTTGTAACTGCCCTACACGTGTCCATTAACTGCCAAGGGACGTGGGAAACATCATGGGCGAAAATCACGTGGATAACTGCCAAAATAACGGAGTTTGAAACGTGAGAGAACAGTTACAGCGAGAAACTGCCATTTTCCGAGACAGCATTTACTGTCTCGCTGAGCGAGACAGCAAATTTACTGTCTCGCGGGTCGAGACAGCAAACGCTGTCTCGCCCAGCGAGACAGTAAACACTGTCTCGCCGTACTGACTTCTTCGATTGTTAAGTTTTTGCAGTTACTGACCCTTGAGGCTATAAATACCCCCCTAGGGTCACTTCTGACGAGGATCGAGCATTTGTTAGAGCATTCCAGAGCAGAGAGAGCAGAGATTTGAGTTCTTTTCTTGCAACGCCTTGAAATTAAGCTTCGACTTGATTTTAAGAAGAACGACTATCTTACTTCGATAAGATATCGTTTCAATTTCTACTTCGATAACGAAGTTAGAATCATAAGCCCCCTCTTCACGATCTGTGAATCGGCGGTCCACGAACCAAAGCGTTCCCGGCACAGGCAAAGTCCCACGAAAACGAGAATTGATAGACGATTTTCGTGTTTGTTTCTCAAGAGTTGTAATTTTTGATTTGTTGTGTAGAAAAAGTCTTATAAAAAGATTATTCTTTCGAATTTGTTGTAATCGAACAAAGTTATAATGAATTCCACAGCAGCGACTTTTGAACCAAACAAGCACGAGTTCGGAAAAATCTTTCGGTAGACAAAAATACCCCTATAAAATTTAAATTATCCTATTACTAATCTAATTCTATTTTTTAAATTTTATTTAATAATTTATTCTAATCGAAGGTAGTATATACCGTCAAAATTACAGATTAATAGATTCAAGTTTTCAATTATAAAAACAATCCACTTACAGATATCACGTGTGAATGTGCACTCGGAAACCAATCCACTTATAAAGTTTTAGGATATAAATCTATTGTTTTAATTATAAAAATAATATCAGGTATCTTATATATAAATCCACAAAGTTTTAGGATATAAATCTATTGTTTTAATTATAAAAATAATATCAGGTATCTTATATATAAATCCACTTACACAGATATCACGTGTGAATAAATCCACTTACAGATATCACGTTGTGTTTAATTGTTTTAAATGTTTATTTTCTATTGGTTTTTTAAACGTGTGAATGTGTTTAACCTAGATTACTCCCTTTAAAAGTACGAGTTTGTGAAAATTTTTTGGTAGAAAAAAATACCCCTATAAAGTTTGAATTATCTTATTACTAATCTAATTATATTTTTTAAATTGTATTTAATAATTTATTCTAATCCAAGGTAGTATATACCGTCAAAATTACAGATTAATAGATTCAAATTGTATTTAATAATTTATTCTAATCCAAGGTAGTATATACCGTCAAAATTACAGATTAATAGATTCAAATTTTCAATTATAAAAACAATCCACTTACAGATATCACGTGTGAATGTGCACTCGGAAACCAATCCACTTACAAAGTTTTAGGATATAAATCTATTGTTTCAATTATAAAAATAATATGAGGTATCTTATATATAAATCCACTTACACAAATATCACGTGTGAATAAATCCACTTACAGATATTACGTTGTGTTTAATTATTTTAAATGTTTGTTTTCTATTGGTTTTTTAAACGTGTGAATGTGTTTAACCTAGATTATGGCCATTGGATATTAATTTTTAAATTTTAAATGTTTGTACAATGAGAAATCTAATTATGACTATTATCCTTTCACATGCAACACCTCATGTCTATATATAAGCCAAAAAGTTACACAATTTTCATAGTAACTTCATCTCTTTCAACATGTATGTTCCTTTTTTTATTTTCATGATCATGATTAATGCATTACAATTAGTTTTTATGGTAATTGATATTTTTTTTTGAATTTCTTCAGTTTTCAAGTAGTATTTAGATGACTAAGGATTTGATTGTTGCAAGTTCTTCCATCTATCAAGGTAAATCTTTATATTTGAAATTATTTTAATTTAGATTTATTTGATTATATATTTTATTTGATTAAACCAAAATAGAAAATAGATACAATTTAAGAAGATCAATTTTAAGTATCTAATTGGACAATAAACCATGAAGATAGTACAAGCGAAGCAACATTACAAATTCCCATAATATATCAAGGATCACAGCTGAGTTACTCTCTCCATTCCTCGCGTGCAAATAAGAGGTAAGCAGATATGAGTAAGCAAATGCCTGTTTTTGGTATAACTACATCTCCATCTGTAATAAATACACTTTCTAGCACATTGTATAATCACGTAACCCAATGAATACATACCTACGAGCAATAAGAATCCAGTGATTCCTGCAAACTCCATGAGGCGATGCCAATCATGCCTCGATAGGCAAATTTTAAATATTTCTGTAGCGTGTAGGCACATTCACTGAAATCTATGTCAATTATTTTTTTTAATTTAACTTAATATATAATTTTTTATGGTAGCAGATGATATGTGTTTATATTGGTTAATCACAAAAACTAATCTTGTAGTGAACAAAGAAAAGAGATGCTGACAAATCTTATAAGGTACAAAAAATTGAAAATCATACTTATTTTAAATACCAAAAAGTATAAAATTGCCTATTCATCCTAATTTTGATATTGAAATTCCCACGGGCCTGGAAATGTATACCTCATAATATTGCATTAAGTTGTCTGCGTAGGCAAATTATGTACTTTAGAATTGTTGCGCGCTTACCAGTTTTTGAATGCACGATGATTCCATAATCATCTTTCCCGTGATCACCATTTTCAATAATTGAATTAGAATTAGTAGATCTCTGGCAAGGCCGCTTAACAGTAGATAGGTGGACTATATCATGATGTCTACATCCATTGCGAGAACATGATATCTACACCCATTGGGTGGACTATATCATGATAACTTTATACCAAGATCCACTA